TCTCTCTCTCTCTCTCTCTGTTTGTCTCTCTCTCATCCTTTTTCTGTTTGTGTGTTTCTGATTTTCTCTTTCTCTTTCACTCCCTCTCTCGACTTTTCATTCTCTCTCTCTCTCTCTCTCTCTCTCCTCTCCATCTCCCTTTATTTTTCTACCTCACTCCCTTTTTTCTCTGTAAAATACAATATATTATACTGTATATTTGTTTATATACAATTTTTGTGTATAAATAAAGACCAAAAAAATGTCCTAGCTTGTGAAGTAGATTGAAATATACAGAAGAACATAATGTGTGGTTACACTGTATTCGTGGAAGCTGAAACGCACATGATATATAGATCTATTTAAAACATTTCGAATCCAATGGAAGAGCAACTGGGGCCGAAACAATTAGGACAAGTAATTTTATTTTAAAACTGCCCCCCTACCCTCCCCTCCCCATCCTTCTCACCTCTTTCTCAAGATTTTTAGAATTGACCGTTGTTTTCTTCTCAAAGGCTCTGCCACTGTGGAGATCCAGCTGACAGACGTCAACGACAAAGCACCTCGTTTCGACTCTGAGAACTTGCGCGTGTACGTGCCCGAGAACGAGACAGCTGGACAGCGCGTGGTGGACCTGAGCCAATACACGGTGGACGATGACCTTCCTCCGAACCAGGGACCCTTCACGTACCGCCTGGACGCGAGAAGTCCCGAGGCGGCGTACTTCTGGGTGGATGAGACCACAGGTGTTGTGCAGACTAAGACGACTCTGAGTAGAAAAGATGGGCCTGAGTTCTACGTCAGCGTTGTCGTCACGGATAATGGCATACCTCAACTCGCTTCTACTTTGACGTTCACTGTGGTAGTCAACGGGAATTCCCCACCGAAACCGAGGCCGATGGAGGTGATGGTGACTTTGCTGGAAGGGGTTGCTTTCCGCGGGACCATCGCCGACGTGCAGCCGTTAGGTTCGAATCTCAGCGAGAAATTCTCTTGTCAGATTGTGTCTGGCGACTCTTTGGAGAGTTTTGTGATTGTTACCGGATGTGAATTGGAGGTTGTGGGAATTCTCACGCCTTCGACCTCGTACGTTCTGAGGGTACGCGGTGATGACGGAAAGTTCGAGGCGGTTGAGTACGACGTGACAGTCACAGTGAAGTCTGTAAGTAACAAGACACTGAGCAACTCTGTGGCCATGGTTTTGAGCAGGGAGAAAGACTCTGCTTTCTTGAGTTCCAAACTTACAATGTTCACCTCGGCGGTGGAAAAAGCTTTTGGCCCGACCTTTAAGTCTAACGTGTACAGTTTGAGACAAGAGGGGGCGGATCTGCTTGTCTTTCTGTCTGTGGAAGACTCGAAGCGTCAGCCTTTGCCCCTCAGTGAATTGGTCCGTGGTCTGACATTAGCAGAGAGTGTCATCGCCGGCCAGTCTGAGGTCACGATTAGATCTGTGTCCGCCAGCACTTGTGACGTAAATCCGTGCCGTAACAAGGGCAGCTGCGTCACTGCGGTTGTCCTCGGCGGGGGTGTCTCTGTGTCGCCCTCACCAGCCCTCGTAATGGCATCGCCTAGCCCAGACCTGGCTGCGAGCTGCCTGTGTCCCGCTGCCTTCACTGGACCTCTTTGTCAGCAAGCTCAAGACAGGTGCGGCTCTGACTACTGCAGCAACCAGGGCTACTGTCAGAACGGCCGCTGCCAATGTCCAGACACCTGGCACGGAGAATTTTGTCGGGAAGACGTAGACGAGTGTCAGACAACGGCTTCCTTATGTAAGAATGGCGGCACTTGCCAGAACACCCAAGGGTCTTTCAAATGCAACTGCCCGGCTGGTTTCCACGGACCCTTCTGCGAGGTGGCGAGCTACTGCGCGGGGGAGACGTGCTCCGGCCGAGGGGAGTGCCGGGACGACGCGTGTCGCTGTCGCTATGAGTACCACGGAGGCCGCTGTGAGGAGGACAGCATGGGCTTCAGCGAAGACTCGTACGCAGAGTTCCGCCCCGTGGACAACTACGAGACGTTCAACATGAGCCTCTACTTCGCTACCCTGGACAAGACCGCACTGCTCATGTTCAGTCCGGTTTCCATAGGCGTCGGCGCAGCTGAAGGTTTCATCGCTATGGAAGTGGTGAAGAGGAAGCTCAGGGTGTCTTTCATGTTGGATGCGGGTGGGAGTGACGGCCCGTCTGTCGTGAGCCTGAGTACCTCGGATGACGTCAACACTGGATACTGGTACCGCGTGGAATTTGCAAAGGTCACAACGGTAAGCGAGAGTTTCTGTCCTTGTCAAACTGAAATCAGATTTCTCTTTTTTTAATGCATTATTGAAACTACCGTCTTCAAAATGTAGCTCTCTGATTTTTGTTAGTTTTAAAAAATATTTGAATGCCTATTTTGTCTTCACTTTTTCACTCGGGTGTGCCGTTCCTAGCTTTATGTGCCTCGAAGCTGTGCCGTGGTGTGATAGTGACTCTTGGCCTTATGTACATTATATTTTTTTTTGGGGGGGGGTGGAGGCATCAGAGCCTGAGACATACTCTTTCTTTAAGCAATTTTAATTAAACTAACCTTTGATAAATTATTTTTATAGGTGCCAGTTGTCTACATATTATGGTTGGGTGCTGACTTAACCTTTATCGAATGAAACATTGTGTAGAAACGTTATTTTATAGCTAACATTTGTGCAATATGCAGTTTCTTCCTTTCTCGTGTGGAGTATAAATGAGTGCCGCTGATAGGTCATTCATATGACTGTCTTTAATTTGCTTAAACTAGTTCTATCTTCTGCCTTTTTCGTTACACATGGTGTAAAAATGTATCAAACCATACAGTGAAAGAGCAAATGTTTGCCAGTGTGATTCTCTTTCAGTGTTCTTGCTAGCCCCAAGCCGCAAGCGTCTAGCCGTCGCACGACACAGAGCTTTAATATTTCAAAGTCTCTCTGTGTGACTTTTAGCCTCTACTTTTTTTTCAACATTTTGCACCCTGATCTCAAACAATAGCTGCAGCTGTTTCAACACCAGCCTGTTAAGAAAGCAGTGGTCCGCTTCGTTATGCAGAAGACCCGAGTTCAGTTCGATTTCCTTGTGTGTGGGGGGGGGGGGGTGGAGTTCATTTGAGTATCTTTGTCTTTCTGATGGGACAGGCAGGGTCTTTCAAACGACGTATGCTCTTTCAATGAATTCCTTTGAATTTTATTGACAGTCAGGGTCAACGCCCGCTTCCTAAATCATCTTCATCGTATGGATGGGGATGTAAAACACCTACAGGAAAATAAACATAAAACTTTCTCAACAGTTCTTTTTCATGTCGTTTCCCACGCGGTTTCATTGAGCAAAGAAACACCGTACGTATTACCCTTGTACAACTGCGCCTTGTAATAATCATAAACGTCCACAGTAAATGCAAAACTCAATTGACATGCCGTTGCAGCTTTCACCTTCAATCAGACGTTTTTGAAACTCAGCGGTTCTCCAAGCGTGTTCCTGGGTGTCTAACTGAAGATTTGAAAAGTGTTGACGACCACTGTAGAAGTTCGTTTTATCAATTATTTTGTTTGGAGATTTGAACTGAGCCACTTTCCTTATCACCACCCCGACCACCCCGTCTCTGTTTCTCTCTCTCTCTCTCCCTCTCTCTCTCTCTTTCTATCTCTCTCTCTCTTTCTATCTCTCTCTATCTCTCTCTCTCTCTCTCTCTCTCTCTCTCTCTCTCTCTCTCTCTCTCTCTGCTTCTCATACACAAACACAAACACACCCACACACATGTACCTACATCATCTCTTCGTGTCCGTACACAATCATTAATTACTCACATCACATTCTGTTCTTCTGTGCACCGATAAGCTCGCCACATTTCCATTCAGAGATTTATCAGTTCAGTAGGCATCGTTTCTGTCTCTACTCGACTTTAAAAAACAACACCCAATGTATTCTCACCTTCTCATTATATCCTTATAACATTATAAAAAATATATATATGCATTACTGTATTTTTTAATTTTTTTCTACTCAAACACAGGGAATGGTTTGTTTTGTATTATCCTCTACCGATTTATTTTTGGTCCCTACCTCCTATAATTGCTGTTCCACTTGTGAATCGCTTGTAAAATTATTCCGAAATACAAGAAGGAAAGAAGGGGGAAAAAAGATTTAATTGAGTGCACCACTCAATGTCAGGACATAACACGTATTGTACTCCCAGAAAACGAGCCTCGATTACAACCCTTGCACTCTCCATGTTTTTCAAACGACGCGTGCTCTTTCAGTGAATTTCATTTATTTTCATTGCTTTTTCCACCCCTGTCTTCTTCTGTTTGCAATGCACCTCCCC